GCTCCTCTGAGCTCCACTGACAGTCGTGTCTCTCGCTGTTCATATTCCCACTCGACCACGCCACGCCTGCGCCCGCTCCCGCTCGTGGTTGGCTGGATTTCTTCACTAACTTCGCCTCTGGCTTCAGCGTGCCAAATGACGCATTTACGTGCTGTCGGAACAACTTTAGCTCAAGTGGCCCGAAAGAAAAAAAAGGCTTAGCTTGAAACGCTTTAAATTAAGAGGCGACGTTTGTTTGTAACAAGCCGGCCTACTTGGGTATTATTAAGTGTCATTCAAGTATTCATTCGAGTATTAGCGATATAAAAGCACTGTTGCTTTTAAAACTTCAACCCGTATCTCGATTTGTTTCTGCCACTTGAATGCAGCCAATCACAACATGGAAAACAACTTGTGAAGTTGATATGGCAAACTGTGCCTATTAGCATTAATATGAGGTCGTGTGTGTCAACTACAAGAGGTCAGGATAAACAGGACATTTGACAAATGAGATAACTGTAGGCTGTGGCATGGGAAGGCTGAAATAAATTAATAAATAAAAAGCCTGGCCACCACCACCTGTCAAATGCTGTCAGATTTTTTAAATAACATGTTCAAAACAGAAATCAATTTAATGATCTGTAATGACCACATTTTAGACTAAGTGATAGACATGAAAAGACATGTATTTGAAATAAATTCTGAAGATTTGAAAATAAAATGTGCCACAATAATGTAATGTTGTTGAGTGGAAATATCTTCATTTGTGGGCTTTTCCTGACAAATACTGATATATGTAATTGTTTGCAATCAAATCAGAATATATTTCTGTATATTATTATTTCTATATACTATCCATATATTATCTCCTTAAAGTCTCCATGCTATGTCGATCCATGAATATTTCTCCAAACCGCCCGTGCTTTTTAGTCTATTGTAAATTTCATTATAAAACACGTGCAAGTGATACCAACTTTTTAATGATTTAGTCTTGCTTTAAGCTAATTTTTAGAATTCACTTTTACACTAAAGCAGTTGCATGATCTTTTTGACTACTAGGTGCAATGTTGATCATAGCAATGTCTTGTTAGTTGCTCATCAACACATCCACATTAACGTATACATTTCTTCAAATTGTATTTAGCCACCTGGGGAATATAAAGGGAAATATTCACCTCAGCCTTTAGCTTTGTTTTGGTCTCCACCAACTCCTGGGAAAAATATCTGGCCACTAAATATTAGACTGTGTTCACCAGCGGGCCACTAAATATGTCTGTCTGCCCTTTGAAAATGCTATCTGTGGACTGGAAACTAGTTTGATGAATCAAAACTGTAAATATGAATCATATTTTATAAGAAAATCCTATGTTTTGGATCAAAATATAATAATCTGTAATCTAAAAAGTAACTAGTTGCTACATTCCTCCACCCAGCCATAGCTATACCATCTTAGTCGTTAAATATATCTAGTAAATTAAAACTTATTTCCCCCCTCAAATGTAAATGTATTATGTAGCATAGTAAAACACAGTAATAGGATCAAGTTGTCTTGGAGTAAATGGACGTCTCATAACCATAAACACGGAGGAGCTTTACATTTAGGGTTGTGTGATTGCCACTGTGACATTGGGTTCTATATCTTACTGTACAACACTGCTTGGGTGTGTGTCACATTGGTCTCGCAAGGAATCATGGGGCAGCATGTTTTGTCTGGGAGCCTTTAATCTGTCATGTGCCTTGCATTATGAACAAGGAGATTTTTGAGAAAGACCCACGGATTGAGAAGGTTAATGCAATTTCTCTTTCGACACTGTTAAGATAATTAAGTTGACAAAAATAGACGTAACTGTATATCACACCTATTATAAGCAAGTCAAAGTCTGTTTCCCTATAGAGCTGCCCTTCGTGGTTGGGGTTAGGGGTCACAGAGGTGGCTGGCTGGGGTTAAGGCAGGTTCAGGTTGAGTTCAGGTTAAGGTACAGGGAAGGGGAAACAGACTGAGAAACAGTTTTAGCATGAAGGTGTGGGGCAGTCAGAGATCAGCAGTTAATCACAAGCCATTTTGACGTTTCCCACCGAGCCTGTTTTAAGGTTCACAGAACTTCTCATGTCTTTATTAACCCAGTAAGATTATAATGTGACACAGAGTTGGTGTAGGATGACTTCACACCAGCTTCTGCCCTTACAAGGATGCATCAGGGAGTGACAATGCCAGTTAAGAGTTAAGATTGTGGAAGGACAAGAGGTCAGGGTTTCACTGCATGTAGACGCTGATATGCAGTAATCTTCCTTTGCCTGTCTTTTGTTTGGGAAGGAAAAAAGAGCCACGGAATCAGCTGTCTGTATGTGAGAAGGACAGAGTCTGTGAGAGAGAGAAAGCCCCCAGATGTCTTGGAAAGCGCTTGGGAAAGACATTTGATATCCCAAACTAAAATGGTTCACATACAAGCATGTGATGCCCCGGTGACTTGCGTGTGTCACGCAGTACATATTTTGGCTGGACCTCACGACACAGTCTGTTCCATTTAGCATACGCCTAATTTTAAACAGATTGTCACATAAAAGATAACAGTTTAAAATTAAAATATAAGGATTTGAAGATTTATGGCATCAATCTTAGCAGCAGTCACCACATGTCTGAACATATAGCAGGTTCCATTTTTAAACACACCCCATGCACAACTGTTACCAAGGCCACAGATGTGTCCTGGACAGGGTTACAATCTGTGTGCATGTATTTGCATGTATAGGAGCTATAGAGCTGAAATTCTGGTTAGCGCATCTTAAAGGAGAATCAAAGACAAGGCTGCAGTTTGTAATGCCACAATGACCTGAAACAAACACTCATACAGTTTTATCTACATGACGTGCTTTCATAACTTGAGTGTACTGGAGTGTCTACTATTTATGTCATGTGCTGCCCTGGCAAATGGATCAGAACGGGCTGTGACGTTCGAGATGTGCTGAAAGTGAGTGACTGCATGATGTAATAGGAAGAGAAGAAGCACTGGAGGACATGCCTGTTAAATGTGCAAGTTCCCAAATCCACCACAGGGGGGAGACTTTAGGTATAAAAAGTCAGTATCCTGTCTCCTTTTCTAACCAGAACACCATCATTTGACCCTTTACTGGCTTCCAACATAATGTATAAAAAAAACAAACCCCAAAAACTAATTTTAAACAATACCCAGAGACATAAACAGTAACAATGATCAGATTAATTAAAGAAACCATGTGCATTTAAAAAAAATACAAAAAACATTTGTGAAAACAAAATGTTTTTATGTTTTGTTTTTCTAAACAGGGCTCAGTAAAAATCACTAACAAAACTGAAATGCAATACAGAAATTAGAGTGCATTGAAAGCACATCAAGTTGGAGTCCATGTTTGATAGATCATTTGATCTCACTGCTCACTAAACTTGCATGTGGGATTTTGTGCAAGCATTGCAAACCTATATCAAATCTGCCACCTAAAGAAGGCACCAACCTTTGACAAATAATCATATGACAAGTTAACTTGGTTTGACAATAAAACTATATATGATCTCTTTTATAAATATCTTGCCTTCATACTTTCATCTTTAAAAAATAGTACAAGAACTGTACATCATAAGCCGTATTCAGTATCAGATAGAATAAATAATGTGATTCCATTCAGAGGGTAGAAAAATAGAAATACTGACAGAAAAATAGAATTCTAGAAGTGATAATGTTGGACTGATTTAAATATGAATTAGGTCACATGATTTTAGAGACTTATTTTACAAATTGCAGCATTACAAATATTGAAATGTAGGCTAGCTGTGCACTGGAAAAGAAACAAAAGACAACTTCATGATATTTTCAGTCCAAGAAAAAAAAAAAAAGAAAAAAAAAAAAAATCAAGCAAAGGAAACAGTCCATGTTTACATCTTTGTGTGAATGTAAATTCAGAATAGCGTTATACTATAACTCTTAGGACCAGGCAATCTCCCAACCACAAAAAAAACTCTTGCTTATAATGTAAATCTATGCAAATCACGTACCCTTCATAGCACTCAGTAAAGAAAAAACTTTAATCTCATTCTTAATTTAAAACAAATCATCTTTCAATTTAATTTCATTCAGCTTTTACATGATTCTGAGGCTTTTCAATGAAAAGTCAATCTACAGTAGTTGAGTAGTGCGGTAAGAGAGGAGTAAAGTATGAACAAAGACTGAGTAAAGTAAATATTTGCTTGTGATTGTGACACTGAAATCTGTAGTTCTCGTCTGAGTCACTGAATGGACACCTGATGTACAGCCCCTAAATAAGAGGGAGCAACAGGAAATGCTAGGACCTTTAGTGTAAAGTGTGTATCTTGTTGATCAGGAAAGGGTTACGGGTAAATAGAAATTCAGTGTAGATCAAACCCTCATTGGCATGTGGCCTTAGTCTTCAATGATTTCAAGCATGTCTGTTTTGAAAGGTTTTTGCCACTTTGGAGTATAACATGCCCAGCTCCTCTACTCTGTAGACGGTGTGTGTGTGTGTGTGTGTGTGTGTGTCAGGCTGTCTACATGAGTCCACAGCAAGGCTCCTTATTGTTAGACTGGTCCTCCTCTGGGGCTCTGAGTTTCAGCAGTGGAGGATCTCCACTGGCTGGGGTGAAGTATACCTGGCTCGGGGAGGCCACATCCTCTGTGTTGGGGGTCATTTGGAGCTCTGGCTGGGCCTGACTGGCTGTTGCCTCGGCCGCTGCAACAGAAGGCTCCTCCTCTAAGGGAGGGGGCAGGGGTGGTGGAGGTGCTGGGTACTTATTGAGCTTGGCAGCTGCACGCTGGCGTTTCAGGTCAGCCAGGGTCTGGTGCGATTTCTCCCGAGTCATACTGTCTGCCCCCTCGCCGTCTGCAGATCCAGGCCCCAACCCGGCTCCGGATTCAGGGCTGAGCTGGTAGGAG